TCCAGGGGGAGAAAAAAAAAAAAAAAAAAAAAAAAAGGAAGCAGTGGGCTAGAGAAAAGCACTCAACTTGCCCTGACTGCCTCTTATTTCCACGAGACCCCTGTGTGTTGCTGGCACTGAGGGTGGGTGAAAGCCCCGCTGGGGACCAGCTTCTCCCTGGAGCTCTTTGTCTTTCTCTCCTGCCTCTGTCCTGAGATGATTCAATCCCTGTTCTTCTCACAGGACTTCGAAGGAAAGCTTAGCTTGGTGCCATCAGGAGGAAGTAGAAAGGTGACCTAGGACACTAGGTTTTGGGGTGGGCAGTTATAGACTAATGAGGTGTGTTCGGTCACTAAGACTATGCACAGGCCTTTCACACTCATCTCTTCCAAAGGTGGTAAAAGAGCACCTTCTGAGAATCCAACCAGGCAGGGGGCTGGTGCAGATTCCACCCTGAGCTTTCCATTAAGGGCGGAATTGAACCGCAGGATCTCTTACTCAAGCACTACTCATCTGCAGGCCTTGCACTCCCACATTGGCGCAAGATTCTGCCACCTACGAGCAGCTGTGGACACATCAGCAATCCTGCTCTTGCTTCTTCATCTGCCTGGAACTGCTGAGCACCTCCGAGCCTCTGTGTCCAGAGCCCATAGTAAGAGGTTCCTAGATCACTGTCACATTCCTCTCAAACTGTCCCAAGACTACAATCAGCTTCATCCACAGATTTAGTGACACAAGAGATGTTCAACTTCGTGTCTAAATCTGAGTTACTGAGACTAGAAGTTTTAACAAACACTGGGATCTTAGCCATCTTAGTGTTGTTCTCAGCCCTTTGGCTATGTGAATTTAGCCTTTTTACTTTTGCACCTTTATTTTTCTTTTCCTTATAATTTAAAATGTTTATAATTACACTTCCTATTTGTTACTCTTCTGACAAAAACCATCTTACAGATATTAAATAGATATAACAATGATATGGAGAGAGATGTTTTTCCTTATTGTTGACATCTGTGAAGGAAACATGATGTTAACACAAAGCTACCCGCTGGCAGTAGGTGAAGCCTGTGCGACCTTCCAAGTTCACATCAGTGCGTGCTCACGGGCCACCATCATAGGATTTCAATTCTTAATAAAGTTCAGACAGTGTTAGAATAAAAGACACAGGCCTCTGCCCTTGGTTCTCTACTCGTATTTCCTTCCCATTCAGTCTTCCTCATGAAAATTTAAGGCCCAACCCTGGTCCCTTCTGTCTCTCAGGAGATCTGGAGGTCTCATGGTTTCCCACACAGTGGATAATTGCCCTAAAACATTGACCTAGGGCCGGCCCTGTGGCTCACTCAGGAGAGTGCGGTGCTGATAACACCAAGGCCACGGGTTCGGATCCCACATAGGGATGGCCGGTTCGCTCACTGGGCGAGCGTGGTGCTGACAACACCAAGTCAAGGGTTAAGATCCCCTTACCGGTCATGCATAACTTCGTATAGCATACATTATACGAAGTTATACGACTGATAACACCAAGGCCCCGGGGTCGGATCCCACATAGGGATGGCCGGTTCGCTCACTGGGCGAGCGTGGTGCTGACAACACCAAGTCAAGGGTTAAGATCCCCTTACCGGTCATCTTTTAAAAAAAAAAAACAAAAAACAAAAAAAAAAAAACATTGACCTAATGGGAGCGAAGCCTGTCCCCTGCACTGACAGACCTGCTGGTACCTGTGACCGGCCCTGCAGGGGTCCTTTATGGGGAAGGGCACTGTCCTTTTACTCCTTGCTATATCCTCAGCAACGTCGGACACAAAGCAGGTGCTCAGGAAATAACTGTTGAGTAAATGCCTGGACAAAGGCCATACATTAGTTTTTGTAAACAACTCTTTTCCTTCCAGATGCTATTACAGAAAAATGATGACAACCCAGGGACACAGAAACAGATGCTCAAATCTCAAAGGGGCTGGGCAGAGCTCCCCTCACCATTAGAGCATCCACAATAGAGCAACTGGGGGGGCGGTAGGGGAGGAGCACCAGTGAGTTGGGGCGGACTCTATTTCCTTCCATTTCAGTCGCTTCGCCTCTACTTACAATTAAAAAGAAAAGTTCTAAGGCTAGACTGCAAATGAGAAAACCAGTCTGTTTAAGAGCAAATGCTCTCAGGCTGGTTGGTTAGCTCAGTTGGCTAGAGCAAAGCCTTGCAACACCAAGGTCAAGGGTTTGGTTCCCTGTACCGGCAGCCGCCCAAGAAAAAAAAAAAAAAAGCCAAATATTCTCAGACTGGCCACGCGCTGATGGCCACAGCTAGCATCTGCAAGTACTTGAATGCACACTGACTCAGGGGACCAAGTAAACCTAAGACTGGAATATCCCAGTTTGAAGGCACCCACTTATTCTGTTTTCTATTTATTGCTTCCTTCCTCCTCCCAACGGAAGAAAGAATTCACTGGCAGTTTTTCTTCCTGTCAAAACAAGATGAGGGCTCAGCCCACCAGATGGAGAATCATCCCACTGAAGCAGAGAAGTACGAACATCACACTTCAGACACAGCCAAACGGCTGCCTTGTCATGTACAGCTTGGTCATTTTTATTGAAAAGAGCTGTAAGACTCAATATTACCAGGCACTTTAATCTTGTGGGGTATTTGGCCAAGGGAATTTGCTTTAATTCAAAATACCTGGAACTGGGTGATTATATGAAAAATAAATTTATTGCTTATAGTTTTGGAGGCTGGGAGGTCCAAAGTCCAGGGAACACATCTCTTGAGGGTCTTCTTTGGTGGTGGCTTTATAGCAATGCAGGGGTCTAATGTTGCAGAAAGTGGTGGAGGAGAGAGAGCTCCTCATGTGCTCTCCTGTTAAAGCCCTCGACCACAATTAAACCATCAACAATCACCTCTTCAAAGCCCTACTCTACGATTATAGCAAAAGGATTTCCCACCCTCAACAGTTACAGTGGGGATTAACTTTTGGGGGGACATTCAACCCAAGACAGTATTGTTACCATTAAAGTAACAGAAATATCTTGTTAGGAAATGATAACATATAATCAAAAGCATGCATGTTTCCACTGCACAAAAGGAGTTCTTATCCTACTTAATTTTTGTGTTTTTATCATTGAAATATGTTAAATTGGAGACTATCTGGAAGAGTAGCAATCACAAACAAGGACATGCTGTCCAATCTGAAGGATTTTATCCTAAGAAAATATTAAACAAGACTCAGATGATGAATTGCATAACCTATATGTTCCTGTGGAAATGACTAATACTGAAAAGTTAAATCTTTCAAATTTAGCTGTTTTCCTTTGCTAGTAATATTTTATAAAATCTTGTGTTCTCTAAATGATTCATGTTCAAAGTTGAATTTCCCCTTATTGAACAAGTAGGTTCTAGTGGTTCAAAGAGCAAAACAATACAAACAACTTCTACCAATTTTTCACCCTAACCCTGGTCCTTTATCTCTTTATTAAAGCTTTTCTCAGCTGTGTTTGTAACTAGGCTCCCTGCCCCATGAAAATTTCTAGTGAAGGTAATGGATTGGAAAGCACCATGGGCATTCAGATTATTTACATATGAATTCCATCATTCATTACTGCTGGAAGGAACATATCCTATACCCACCAAAAGTGCTGGTGGAAAAAATAATGCTAGTGGCCTGCCGCTCATTATTTTCTTATTGGCTCAGGACCAGGCCCTGGCAGCTTTTTCTAATAAAGACCAAGTCTTTAGATTACATTCTGACACGAGGGCCCGTTCTCACCCTTCCCTGGGACCTGATGATGCTTTCAGGGAAGGCTGCAGGACGCGAAAGCATCGCAGAGATGCTAGGATAAGTAGTTTTGAATTATGCTCTAACTACACATTTTAAAAGCACAAAGAATCAGAAGCTTTTGTGTTTACTGCTACGATTAGTAATATGGAAGTGGGTTCATTTTCCTAGTCCATGTACTTTACTATATTAAATTTCATCAAACAAGAATATCCTTGAAACTAAAATTGTGTTAATGACTACATTTGACAGATACCAAAACTTTAATTCTTTCACGTTTTTAATGTTCTAAATCAATTTAAAAACTTGAAAAGTGCTGCCTAGAGCAGAAATATATAATCTTTTCAAAGTCACAGAACATCTTTATTAAAAATATGCAGAATCTCAATCAAACACTAATCAAAGCAAACAGTATAAGATTTATGGTTAATATCTACATTAAAGGATGGGTTTCTAGCACCTAATAACAACTAACATTTATTGGGTACTGATGTCGTACCAAGCACCATTCTATAACCTTTCTCATATAATCTCACCTAATCTTCATAATTAACCACCCATTAATTAGAATCCTCATTTCATAAGCAAGGAAACTGAGGCACAGAATGGTGAAAGGAGGGGCCCTCAAGAGGACAGGAACCTCCAGCTAGTGAGTGGTGGAGCTAGGCTAGGACCCTGTGATGTGAGCAGTTCCGCCACTGCTGCCTCTGCATACTGTTACTAACAATAATGTCAGTACAGGGGAGGAGTAAGGTTAAAGACAGAAGTTGCAAGGGTTTTCATAAAATTCCCTTTTTTTGGTGGTTTTGTGATCTAGATCATGGTAAAACACATATGTAATTTTCTTCACAGAGCTGATAAGAGCTATGTGGTTTACTTTTATGTCCCAGTCACAGATTGTGTTTGGAAACAATGAAAATTCTCACAGAGCAATTGCTTTAGTTTCCTAGGACTGCTGTAAGAATTACCATAAACTGGGTGGCTTAGAACAACAGAGATTTATTGTTTCACAGTTTTGGAGGTCAGAAGTCCAAAATCAAGGTGTCAGCAGGGTTGTAAACCCTCTGGAGGTGCTAGGAAAGGATCTGTTCCAGGCCTCTGTCCTAGCTTCTGAAAGTTCCTTGGCTTGTGGCAGCCTAACCCCAATGTTCACATGGTGTTCTCTTGGGATTTTTCTGTGTCGAAATTTTTCCTTTATAAGGACACCAGTCATACAGGATTGGGGCCCACCTAATGACCTCATTTTACCTCAATTACCTCTGGAAAGACCCTATCTCCAAATAAAGTTATGTTCTGAGGTGCTGGGAGTTAGGACTCCACCCTATCTTTTTTTGGGGGACACAATTCAACCCAGAACAGTGATGATAATAGTGCAGTTTGGAGCCTTGAAGTAAACTAAGCAGATTTGGAAATAATATCCAAAAAAGAGATGAAGTTCATCAAGTTTATAAAGCACACAAAGGCTAACTTATTTTGTAAAATGTCCCACAGAATCACAGCAGGTGTAGTAGCACTCTATGGGCTACGATTTGCCAACCTCTGATTTAAGGCTTATAATTAATACTGAAAGACTTCATTCATTATTCAAAATAATATTAAACGCGAGGCATGACTCAGCAGTAATTTTCATGACTTTGTTTACCTACCTGGAGTTCTACCTGACAAGGGCAAGAGGGAGGAACAGGGATGGTTGCTAACCATCTCCGTAACTGAACTGCTTACATTTTTTTCTTTGGTGGTAAGGATGCATTTCACTATTATTTTACTTTCATTTCATTAATATCCATTTTTTTATTGAATAACTATCAGGTTTATTTTAAATTTGGACATAATTCAAAACAGCTTTTTAGATGACCAAGGTTTGCTTTGATCCTTAATTACAACTTCCCTCATAAAAGTGTCAATCTCTGGCGGGAAAAAGCTGTCACTCTACCTTCTGGTAAGGACAACAGAAATAACCCCTATCTCCATCACATTTTGTTTTTCAAAAGCTGTAACAGCATTCCAAGCAAATGTGCACATGCTAAATGCCTGCCCTCTCTCATTTGCTGTATACTTTTAAATTAGACTAATGGTTGTTTCATATGTATTTTGAAAAAAGGTAAAATTTATTTCTGCAGATCAAGGAACAAAATGTATTCTATGTGTAACAGAAAATACTGTTTTAAAGATACTTGTTTGGGTGTACTTTCTAATATACATCAAAGTCAACAGTTTAATCAAAAGAAGGGAAGCCAACAAAACTGAGCGAGTAGTGTAAAGAATCACAGGCAAAGATGCTAAAGGACATGATACTTTATACAAAGCCCATTGCTCAGTTCCTGGCATCCAGTGGGCAGCAATAAATGCTAGCCCATTGTTAGGAAAATACAGATAATTCAAGATGGAAACAAAACTCTCCCATTCTCAGGCTTATCTGTTTCTGTTTATTGGAAAATTCTATGTAAAACATCATACAATTAGGTCTCACTTTTTAAAAAAAAATTGAGACTGAATACTGGTTATGGTAGGGAGGAGAGTATTCGTACATCCGTCAGAGGTTCATAAAATGTAAATGGTCTAGTGAATCTTCATAGAAAGAAGAGCACAAAAAAGCAGTTCTAGCTCTTTGTAGTAAGGCAGTAAGATATTTAAAAATGAAAATTCCTGCTTTCTGACCAAAGATATAAGACTTTTACCACAATTTTCTAACACCAGGGACAGAGCCTCAATGCAGGACCAAACAGGCAAGTTGTAAGCATTGGGCATTTGTTGTTATTCTGTTAAGATTCATGCTCATCTCTACTCCAGAGGGAGCTGTTTAAGATTTGGGACCTCTGTAGCACCAGGAACACCTCTGAGCTGTGTCCCAAAGAAGTGGCAAAAGTATTTTAGGAACCTAGTGGTCTCAGGGACAGAACCTGGTGTATAGGAAGAAACACAGGAAGTAGAGTCAGGCAGACTTGGTTTGAATCCTAACAGCAAATTACTAGTTGTGTACCATGGAACCAGTTCAATGAACCTTCTTAATATTCAACTTCCTCATTTGTAAAATGGGTTTAACACCTTGAGGGACTGTTGTGTAGATTAGAGAACACACACACACACGCACTCATGTGCACACACATGCTCCATCTGGTGAAGTGTCTAACACTCAATAAATGGCAGAGGTACAAATAGGATAAGCTTTGTTCTGGAACTAAAAATAAAGTCTTGCACTAAAACAACTCTGGAAACTAATATGATTGAGGTGCAACGTCACTATAGCTTTTCCAGGCTTAGGATTGGATTTGGAATATTACCTGTACCCAAACGAAGAGTTACAAAAACAACTCTATATATTAGGAAAGAAAAAAAAATGCAAAAGTCAAGGCAAGGAAAGGAAGCACCAGGACACAGAGGACTGAACTTACGTCGCTCTTCTCTGTGCCTCTCGGTCTCTGCAAAGTACTGGCGGAGTTCCTCGGTGATTTCCATGTTGCTCAGGTCACATTCCACCTCTCCATCTGACTCGGTTTCTATCTCCTCTTCTTCAGGCAAAGCTTGGTCTTCTCTTGTGGATGCCTGGATCATGCTGCGGCCACGTGGATGCTGCCCAGACCTTCTGAAATGTGAATAACTGTGGCAGGAATCCTGCAAGGCCACATGATGGTCATAGGACTGAGGATATCCAGCTCTGTTATCGTGAGAGCTTTGGGGAAGACCTGCAGGAGGGAAGAACCAGAGGGAACGGAAATAGGATTCCATGGCCTTCCTGTAGGCGTGCTGGTGGCTTTGCATCCAAGCCATGGCTTGACTGTAATGTTGCCAGTATCTTGCATATGCTGGATGAGAATACCAAGACTCGGTAGCTTTTGATGTTGATGCCTACAAAATGAAGGGAAGTGTAGGGCAGATACCAAACAGCTTGTTCTCAAGAGTAATCTTAACATTTCATCAACTAATCAGTGGGTATTTACTGAGTTTCTGTTAAATATCTACTCTACATGAGGATGCTACTGGGCCCAAAAAGGTCCGTGCCCACAAAGAACACCAAGCGTACGCACACTACTAGCTAGCACATGAACATGAGGCACGCACAGGACAATTAGTTTAAGGTTATGGAGTATTATAATGTGGGGACAGAGGCTCATAATGATGCTTTTTAGATAAGATGCAGGGAGAGATCAGGACCCGATGATCATCTTGGCCCTCTCTACCCACCATAATTAAATGACCAGTTCCAAGTTAAAAATGGCCGGCCAAGAACCACGTGGACTGACAAGCATGAGACTTTGGTTCCCCGCCCTTCTGCCCACTAAACTAAGCTGCTGGCCCCAGCCCACTCCTCAATGCCTGAAATCAGAGATATTTAGTCATGCCCAAAGGTGCTTTTTAGTTTTCTGATGTATTTCTTTGGTCTTCTCCATAATGGAATGAGAACACCAAGACTTTAAAGACTAAAATTTACCTTTTTTTCTTATCAGTTAAAACAAAAACGTCTTACCTTTGTTGCCATCTCTGATTATAAAAGTCCAAATGGGCACCGAAACTAGGAAAGAAACACCACAGGGCGAACATCTGATCAGTACAGCTGTGTGATATGAGGCTATTTCATGGTTCACAAAGCAGCTCCTGAGAGGCTGCCTCTTCCCAGTGCCATGCCTGATCTTCATGCAACATACCTACAAAACCCTGGCACCTGGGTTATGACCTTGTGGTCTGAAAAGGAGGGACCTTAGGTGTGATTAAGTGGGTCAAAGGAACCTGCATGGTTTTGCATTCAATTACTTGTTTCCTTTTGAAAGTAAGGTCTATGAAAATAATCACATAAATATTTAGTAGTTAGTATGTATTTACAAAATAGTATACAGAACATGAGCTAAATATTTATAACCATTGCTTTATTTATTAATCCGTAACTCATGCCAATGCCTATTTAAATTAACCGTGGTTTTCCTGAGGCTTGAGTAGAATACATCTTTCCAACAGGAGAAACCTGTTGGGTCTTGTCTTAGGTTTGGGACTTGGAGAAGCCTCTTCATTTTTTTAGTATGTGATAATACACTGCCATCTCATCTGTTTACACACATTGGAAATTTTTTTGAATTTATTTATTTAAAAAGATGACCTGTAAGGGGATCTTAACCCTTGACTTGGGGTTGTCAGCACCACGCTCTCCCAAGTGAGCTAATTGGCCATCCCTATATAGGGATCCGAACCCTTGGCCTTGGTGTTATCAGCACCACACTCTCCAAAGTGAGCCACAGACCGGCCCTGAATTTATTTTTTAATTGAAATGTATTGATTGAAGGTATATATGGGGTACAGAGTTATATTTTAATACACATATACAATGCGTAATGACCAAATCAGGGTAATTACCAAATTCATTGCTGCAAAAATTTGTCATTTCTTTGTGATGAGAATATTTGAGAAATAAGACATCTCTCCAGCCTCAGCTGTTCCCGGGGCTTTAAGTCCCCCAAATGGGCCTGTTTTGGTTTTGACTACAATAAGCATCTCTCAGCCACACTCTCCATGCCCAATCATCTTGCCTCTTCGCAGGAGGAGACACTGTTCCATGGACACTCTCTACAAGGCACCCCATCCACAGACTGCCTTTGCCAAACAGCACTGCTCGGCTGGGACTTACTCCTTTTCCCACTACCAGTCTGTTGTGATTTACCGATTCACTGCATGAAATACCTATAGGAGAGTTTAATCTGCAGTTGCACCTTTAACAACCTATTTAAAATAGATGTTTACTTTTTTTTTTTTTTCCTGTTCAGGGGTTCGGAGCTACTAAAATGCCAGCCTATACTAGAATGTTCTTAAAAAAAAGTTAAACAAAAATGATATCCTAAAATACACATGAATTTAAGCTTCTGTGAGATGAAACCACTAACACCACGCGAGACTGAGCAAACAGCTTCTTAGGTTCTGAAACTTTGGAAACCGGATACTAAAAGGGTCCTATTTTTCCTACTTAACTTAACTATAGGGTAGAATTTAAAAAATCTCCAAGCCTTAAGAAATAAACTTGACTTATTCTGTAATCCCTATCAGATGTTTTGCTATGGTACGTTAAGCCTAAAGAGAACCATTCACATTCTTTTTAAACATAAGCTTTCAAATAAGATATTTCTAAGAGGGCTTACATGACGTTCTGCAAATTTATCTTAAACATAACCCACACTTCCTGTACCCTGTCTTAAATTCAGGAATATGCACATATGCAGTGAATGTAAACTGGAAAAAAGTTAACAAATGCAGTGAAAATATAAGTTTAAATAAAGCTCACATTACTACTTTTAAACTGTAACTCAAAGGTTTAAACCTGAAAACCTAGCTAACTGCTATGTGCTTTACAGGCTACTACTGAAGAAATACAGAACAGTTAATACTTGGGTGGCTTAACACCCGAAGATGTAAAACTAACAAAATGAAATGAGGGTAGAAATCAGTACATACTTGAGCGCTAAACTGTAAAGTGCAAGCTTTAAGTGGTCAATTCACTAGAGCTGGATTTCATATTCCTATCACTGAAATCTGGATAGCTTTCTGAGAGCCTGCAACACATAATGACATTAAAGTGAACTCCATGTGTGTCTTAATCAAATTTGTTTTATAGATTAACAAGTACCATAGGAATTAAATTAGATACATCTAGGAGACATCTGTGTGTCTTCTAGAAATTAAGAGTTTTGAATCCAGACTTCTTTCTATGCCTTAGAAGACATACTTAGAACCAGGTTGATGTAAATATCAATTATCCCGACTTGGGAAGCCTGACAGCCTCAAATATGTAATAAACATCATTGTGATTGAGCACTACTGTAAACCAAATCCTATTCTTAACTATAAATAGGAAAACCCAGCATGGCATTAAAGGTAGTAGCACCAATATTCTGAAAATCCACGAGATAGCTAAGAGAGTTTCCATTATGTAGAGCTAGAAGGTAGGTGCCAGTGATAAAGTACACTACTGTTTAAGAGGTTCAAGGGTATTCCATGATGTTCTCCGGGCTGCTCAAATGTCAATGGCTGTGATTAAAAAGGGAGGGAGTGCTAATTTGAGGAGAGATTGCTTATGCCTTTGATTCAACAAATAACTCATAGTTTGGCAGAAGGGCTGCCATGTTACATTGTCTCCAAGATCACCCAAGCACACCCTGAGCACTTTCCAAGAAAGCAGCCAGGAAAACCAGTTGAGATAACTGGAGAAAACCAGTTCCAGCTTTCCAACGGGAAGCAGTTCAGGTTCAGCCCAGTGTGCCCACTATCTGTAAAATATATTCACTAATCAGCTAAGGTGCTAGACTCTTTTAAGGCCCAGGCCATTAAGGAAAGATGAATTTATATTAATGATGGAATACAGGCGACTTTGTAAGCAATTCTGTTTTGTTTTAATTATGCTTTCCTCATACTTTTGGCCACTGGGAGATTTGTAATAAAATTTGCTGCCACCCTCCAGCAAATCTGGAGTCCCGAGACTGTATGTCAAATATGCTCATTTCACCCCTGGCTTCACTATTTTCTCTTCCCACATTTGAAAACCTATTGGTCATATCCTTTTACAGTTTTAGTATTTTTAAGATTTCTAACATCCTATAGATTATTCAAATTAATCAATTTGAGTAACTGATTTGAATTACAAATTAATCAACCTCTCAAAAATCAAATACGATAAGGGATAGAAAAACATGTCTACTTGCACACAGCTTTACAGCAACTTGCATGCAGCTTTATAATTTTTATTAGTTTGGTATTTCCAGTATTACTCTTTTTATTTTATGCCAGCAATTTTTTTCAGTAAAGGGCCAGATAGTAAATATTTTAGGTTTGCAGGCCACATACAGTCTTTGTCTTATAGTCTTCGTATTCTTCTTTGCTTTAAAAAAAAAAATCCACCAAAACCACACCAAACAACTCTTTAAAAATGTAAAAACAATTCTTAGCTCCTTGAAGTACAAAAAACAGGCTGTGGGCCATTTTTCGCCCACCTCTATTTTATGTTAACACATTATTAAGTTGTACAGACTCTGCCCTCAAAGTATTGAGCATCCTAATTGTTCCACACTTTCCAGTGGGAACTCATTGGAGAAACTTCGTGATTCTCATACATTTCATAAATTATTAGGCTTGGAGTAAGACTAGCAGAAGCAAGAAAACTGATTATGACCATCAACAATCTTGGTGACTGGTTTCTAATATTTGGGGCAAAAAAGTAGTCTCCATGACTAAATAAGGAAATGAAACCATTTCTTAAAGATCTACATAGACATTTAAAGGCTTACTTAAAAACAAATGAATCTTCTGCAGAACAGTATCAATCGACAGGGCTTAGAAGCACACATAGAACCAGGATTTCTGACAGAGACCCTGCTAACCTGCTAGCTGCCACGTGCTGAGCAGTAACACAACAATGATGGAAAGCAGGACAGAGTTCTGAGTATCTATTCCCTGGAGGGAATGCATATTCTTCCCTGCTAAGTGAGCAGTTCATCAGTCAGCTCCCAAGGGAAGAAGAGAACCTCCTCTAAAAATGGGTCCTCCTTTACTTTTTTAAACTGGTTACTTTCTCCACACAGAGAGCTTAAGGACCTAACAAGAATGTCTGGGTTTCTGAAAAGCCAACAATAAAATAATTCTACACATTATAGCAACACTTTCAGACACCACCACCTCTCAAAGAAAGGAAAGCTTATGGTTGCAGCAGACTTAGATGCCCTTCCAATAGTCTTTAATTTTGTTTTTCATTCCCCATCTCCCTGGGATTGTCTCCTACTTTTTCACAGCACAAGCCTTCGTGGACTGAACAGTAACTTTTCTCCTAATAGGCTGACAGAGCTGAAAGAAAAGACTGGCAATGTCAGGGAAGGCCGGGATCCACAGCTCTACAAACTGGGTTGCCCTCCCCAGTGAGCACAATGGCATAATGGTCACCACCAGCTGAGCCCAGGCGAGTACAGAGACTGAATTCATCGTCTGTCCTCAGCCACCAAAGAAGGAAGGAAAAAAACAGGGTTGAGGTCATTCACTAAACACTACTGAGGCCTACAGGCAAGACAGAGCTTCCAAGTCTTGAAAGATATATTTTCCCATATAAGCATCTCTAAAAAAATGCATTTACTCTACAATCAATCTGCTTACTCTGAAAGATATATTCTTAAATGCATAAATATACATGAAGAACAACAGATAAGAGCTTTGGAGTTTTCAATAGATAAAATGTGACTATTTCTATCAAGTTACCAAAAAATGCCACAAATAAGTACTGTGGCTTTGTTGAAAGATCAAATAGCAAACCGCTTTTCCATTAATGGAGAATTCATGCTTTTCAAGCATTTTAAATATGACAATATTTATAAATGTGTGGTTTGGAGGGACTGTTTAAATTCTTTTTCCTAATTTTCTTTCTCTTCAGGATAGATTCTTTCAATAAGTAATCTGTAGTAATGACTGTGTTGACTTCAATTTTGGAGTGTAGTAGCTATGTTAAAGATTAACTACTTGGTTTTACTGAAGCCAACACAGAATTTACTGCAGTGTTTTTTCTCAGTGATAAATCAAATACTTACAGGAAAAAAAAAAGATGGTGGCATCATATATATTATTTTTATTGCATATTTTTATTCTTATAAATATAGGATCTAGGATGTGTCACAGCAACCAGATAAATAAAATAAAAACACAGATTCCCCTCAAAACTATAAAGTATACTCTAACTAGATTTTCCTCTCCATCTTCCTTTTCCACTAGAATTCTGAAAATTAAATACATGAAAATACATTACAAGTCAATCATTAAATAAGTTACTCTGGCTAAAGCCCTGAAAGTCGGACCTTTCCTATAAAGCTCCCACTGATTTGGTTCTCTGAACCAACCAGATAATTTGGGGGACCTGATTAGGCCTTCAGTACACACCATTTCAAAGCAGAAGGAAGGGGGTCTGCTGGAGACTACAGCAAAACAAATGAGGGCACAGTGAGAAACTGGAATGACATAAATTGAGTCATATGTGGTTCTCTCTACACGCGCAATACTAACCCTATCAGAGAAGATGACTTCCAATAACACACACACCGGGAGGAACCTCCTCAAAGATAAGTAATACAGTGGGGCTTTTTGAGGGCATTGCTTCCT